CACAGACAGCATCTGCCCACAAATTCCCACTTTCTGTCCCCCTTCTTCCTGGAGCACCCTGCAGTAGATGCTCTCCCCCTGTTTGGCTATACAAGGCCAGACCCCAAAAATAACCTTCTGATAGCTGGAAATAAGTCCTGGATTGGCCACAGAGTTGAAAGTGGGGCTACTCACTGAGATTTTGGTGAAGATGGAGAGCAGGAGCGCCAGGCTGGAGAGGTACACCCAGATCCTCTCCCCTCCAAACCTCCGCTGGAGATGCTCAGGAATTGTGACAACTGCCGGGGAGGGAGAGCCATCACTGCCCTGTGCAGGCCCCATCCTCCTGGGATGGTCCTGGCAGGGCAAGGGGACAGCAGGAAACCAGAGAAGAACTTGTGAATCCCACAGGATTCCCGGGAGTGGGGACCTGTCCGAGGCCACGCTCCCCACAGCAGGCTCAGGGCAGCTGTACATGCCCCAGGTGAGGTGCAGACAGGCACAAACACCCAGGCCACTGCCAGAAGAGCACAAAGTGCCTGTCAGGAAGGAGGAAAGAGACAGAAAAGTGCAGTTTGCTCCCATGGCTACTGATGCAGCTCAACGCTGACTACATCCTAGACCCTGTCTCTGCTCCTGATCCAGCCCTGGTCCACCCTCGAGGGCAGATTTAGACCCACAAATGGCTTCAGATACCCTTGATACCCTTTTGGGTATGGGGACATGGTGGAGACCCCCTGGCATCCCTGCCAGCAGGATCCTGCTTCCCTCAGCCCTTCAGCTCCTGACTGGGCATCTCCCACCAACTCCTTGAGCACCACAAAATGCTTTTTTTTTTTTTTTTCCTTCTTTTTTTTTTCCCCTGCAGGACTCAAGGACTTTGGGGGAAGCAGGGAATGGGTGACCTATTCAGCCATGTCCCTGTTAGGATCTGCAGGGGCTGGATTAGCAACTCGGCTCCAAAATGTCCTTTTCCCAGAGCTGAGCTGACTCCAGCCTCACCGTAGGACACTGGAGAAAGCTGAGTTAGCAGGGCTGTGTTAATTACCACCCTGCGCGGCTCCTCCCAAACCTTTCGAGACTGTGAAATGGCCCATCTGCTGCGACAGAGCTCATTGTCTTAATCACACGGCACATTTGTGACATTATTGCACCCGGAGCCGGCGACAGCGACTCCCGGCAGGGCAGCGCCGGTCCCGGAGCCTTCGCTGCCGGGGGAGCTGCAGGGGCTCCCAGGTGCTGTGCCAGCCCGACCAGCTTTGGTGCTGCTTCCCCAGGGGATAACTCAGGAAAAGGAGGTGGAAAAAATAAGGTTTGAATTGGGTCAACAGGGCACAGATGTCCCCCTTGTTACTAAAAGTGTGGGATGAGGGATGTGTGTGTGTTTAGCAAGAAAATCCTTTAGCACATAAATTCAGGTAGCTGAATGTGATGTTCCCACAGCCCAGCTCATCTGGACATCCCTGCTGGGTTTGGGATTGACTTTCTTGTCTCCAGGAGGACGAGGAGCCACACGTTGCTGTGTTTGCCAGAAGTCCTGCTGGAGGTGGCCCTGTGCAAGGAGAAGGACCAACAGCCAGTTTGTCAAGATCAGACAGAAATAAGAGGGGGAAAAAAAGGAAATTTGGGACTGCCTAGTTTGTTGGAGTCACCAGGGGCATGCAGGAACAGTGGAGATGGATGTTTGGCCCCACGGATCCCTCCCCAAGCTCAGAGCAGCCTGTGGGGAAAACTCAATAAACTCCAGCATCCTCTGTGCAAAGAGAAGGGAAACGCAGCTCCAAGGACATAAATTCTGGCAGGAGGAGGTGGGCAGGGTGGGGGAAAGCGTGGGCAAGCAGTGGAGAAAGCAGGGGGGGATTCAGTGGTGCCCAGGGTGTCACAAGAGGGACACAGGTCTGTCTGTACATCTTGGCCACCAGGCCATGGCACTCCCAGCCACTGATGGTGCTCCTGTTCACCCTGCAGGAAGACTGGGAGGAGGAAAGATCAGCACAGAGCATCCTTTCCCTAAAACCCAGACAAATCACTAGGACCCAAGTCTCCCAGACAAGAAGCCAAGAGACAGGAGACTCGATAATTAATGGGAGCTCTGCAACTCCAGCTTAATTACACCAAACGGTGGCTGCACCCCAGGTACCTGGAGCCATGAATAGCAAAAGGAAGCACCTGGAGAGGGGAAGCAGGGAGGATGTTCCTGTCCTAGTGCCACCCCCAGCAGACAGGCTGGCTAATAGGACACAGCTTTGGCCAGGATTTTTCTTCAAGGCAGAATAAATGCAATTGCAGAGTCTTTTTCTGAGGCTGCTGGAGCTGATCCTTGTTGCTGTTATCAGGGCTCTTATCAGGGCATTTGGCTCAACACCCTGTAATAGGCGAGGGGCAGAGCTGCTCACACCCAGCAGACAGAGGCTGGGGAGGAATGGTTAATTGGTTCATTCTGTGGTTAATTCCACCTTGCTCCCAGGCTATTTCCATAGGGGGTGAAAGGGGCAGAGGATTTATACAAAACAGAGCAAGTCACAGAACCCCAGAATGGTTTGGATTGGAAGGGACCTTAAACCTCATCTTGTTCCAAACCCCTTCTACCATCCCAGGTTGCTCCAAGCCCCATCCAGTCTGGTTTTGGACACTCTCCAGGATCCAGGGGCAGCCACAGCTTCTCTGGGCACCCTGTGCCAGGGACTCCCCACCCTCACAGGGAGGAATTTCTTCCCAATATCCCATCTAACCCTGCCCTCTCTAGCAGGAAGCCATTTTTCCTTGTCCTGTCACTCCAGGCTCTTGTCCAAAGCTCCTCTCCAGCTCTCCCAGAGCTCCTTTAGGCACTGGGAAGGGCTCTAGGGTATCCCCAGACCTCTCCCTTCTCCAAATGAACACCCCCAGCTCTCCCAGCCTGGCTCCACACAGCACAACACACAAAATACACAAGTGAAAATGACAAGAAAATAATAGAAGCTTTCAAATATTCAACGCAGAAAATATTCCAGCCCTGAAAAGAAAATGTATTCAAACAAGAAAGCAGAAAGGAACAAAAGGCTTTACCCATATTCCCACACCAACGTTTAAGGAAAAATAAACCACTACAACAAGGTCAGAATGCTGAACTGCTGTGAGGGGGTAACAGATCCAGCAGTGGAATTGAACTGAACCCCTTAATTTCTCTGCCTCCTTCTTCATCCTCAGCCTCACAGGGTGACTGAATCAGTAACTCATTAGCAGCACAAGGGCATTTATCACTAAACAGCCCAGCAGCAGGAATTGTGCTTCCAAGGCGGCTGGGTGGGCAGCCTGGCCCCCACTGCTTCCCACCCTCCCCACTCCCCAGGGAGCCAAAACCACCTGAGGTCAGTGTCTCACAGATGGGCAGGGTTGAAAAATGTCTGAGTGGTGCCTCACGTGCTTCCCTCCCCTCCACCACTATCAATACTATCACCACTCAATACTGGCCAAAGGAGCAGCAGCCCAGCCTTATGGGTGCAGTTTGCTCCCAAATTCCTGAGCCCTCATCAATATCACAATTGTATGACTGCATGAAACCAGGTAATGTTGAGGGTTTCTGTGTTTTAAAGCAAAGATCAAACAGGAGTTGGGTGAATGACTGAGGTGGAGCCTGGCATGGCAGCAAGGGCTGACCAGGAGAGACCCCCACAGAAGAGATCACAGAATCATGGAATCATTTGGCTTGGAAACGTCCTCTAAGATCACTGAGTCCAACCATTATTCCACATCTACACTGCTTTTAAATCCCTGGACATTCCAGCACTGCTCTGAGCAGTCTGTGCCAATGCTTGACAACACTTCCCATGAGATTTTTCCTAATACCCGACCTAACCTCTCCTGGTGCAACTTGAGATTGCTTCCTCTTGTTAACTGTGAGAAAAGACCAGCCCTCACCTGCATCCTCCTGTCAGAGAGCTGTGGAGAGAGGAGGACAGCAATTCCTCTAAAGGCCAACACAAGACAGGCACAGGAAACCACCTTAGAATTCCTTGTTTTGGGGTACTTAGCCATCAGTTTGCTGCACTGGACGCTTGTCTGGCTCATTCCCAAGTGGCAGCACACCTCCACAAGGTCTCACTAACAAAATAAACACGGTACAGTTAATGTGCCCATCACTGAGCCAGGTCAGCATTTCTCCTCTCTTTGAAGGAGCCGCAGCAGCACCGGGAGCAGCTCTGCACATCCCTGAAAGGAGCCGACCTTCCCCCCCCAGTGCCCAGCTGGAATTTGACCTGCATTAACACATCCAAAGTACCCACACGTGTCAATAAATCAGCCTGCTGTATCCATTAACATTAAGGAAAGCACCTGGTTTTATCCTTTCAAGTCAATGAACCCTCCAAAGTCCTTGGAAGTTTGTCTCCAACATAGAAACGGTGTCAACAAAGGTTAATTTTCACTTCTGAACACGCCAAAAGCTTTACACTCATTTTAGGACACGATGGAAAGATTAAACCAAACAGCCTCTAAATGCTCATCAATTCCACCACTGTTTTCTCTGCAACAGGTGAGGAACTCGGAGTCTCTGGGACTGGGAGCTGCTGCCTGGCAGCCAGCCGGCCATTCCACCCACACCTGCCCAAGGAGGGCTGGGAAAACAAACCTGGACAAGTTCAGCTCTGCTCTGTGGCACATTTTTTAGCTCATCCACGCATTCAGGGCAGGCAAGAAATCTCAAAAAAAAACCCCAGTTTACCTGTGATGAGCTGGTTGGATTTTACCAGCTGGAACCTACACCCCCCACAATATTCCCAAGTCAGAGTGACAGAATGGTTTGGGTTGGGAAGGATCATCTCATTCCAAACCTTGCCGTGGCAGGGACACCTTCCACTGTCCCAGGTGGCTCCAAGCCCCATCCAACCTGGCCTTGGACACTTCCAGGGATCCAGGGGCAGCCACAGCTTCTCTGGGAATCTGTGCCATGCTCTGAGCAGTTCCCTGTTGCTCCCTGACCCCCACCTGCCATATTTGAGGACACACAGTCTAGAAGACAAAGGAGCAGCACATGAACATTTTTAGAAAGCTCACACAAAACAAGTCTTTATTCTTTGTCGCAGAAAATAAATACAGGTGCATATTCCATATGCTTTTCTATAAAAGCACTCCTACAAAATCACTGAACTGCATACAACAGTACAACCTTTTTGGCTTTTAAAATGCAAATATTATACAGTCACTTCATTTTATTATCATTTAAAGCACTTGTAGCAAGCAGCTTTGGAAAAGGAATGCTTAATTTAGAAGCCAAATTCTTGCCTCAAGTGTTTTGTGGGATTTTTCCATCGTGTATAGTGCAACTAACCTAAAAGCAACTAGAACAGTTTTTTTGTAAAACGTTTATTCCCACCAACCCCCCCGACTCCAAAAAACCCATCAAAGGAAAAAAAAAAAGTCTTAAAAACTGTTCTACCTTGATACTTAAACCAAGAGAAAACAAGAAGTGGCTCAATGGAAATGTTAAGGTAAGCACAATGCTTCACAGCTCGTTCTCTGTTCGCTTCCAGTTTGGCCCGGGGTGTTTCTTGAGAGGAAGAAGCTTTAATCATCCACTCCTATATTCCTGAAAAGGTAGGACATGGACTCCCCATTGTGGATCCTGCGAATGGCTTCTGACAGGATCATGCTGATATCCACAGTCTTGATTTTAGGGCACTGAAGTTTTTGTATTTCATGTGGAATTGTGTTTGTAACAACCACCTACAGGAAGAAGAAATTGTTAGGAAGACGTAGTTCTGTTGTTTTTCACCTATTATACTGGAAGGGTGAAAGGTAGTTTCTCTAATCCCACAAAACCACTCTGGCTGACAAAACATTTTACATTACTGTCAGGGTCACAGTGTCAGGAAGAGCCATGTGTTGCCATAGGTTCCATGTATCCATGGATACTAATGGCACTATCCCTCCTTCCTTTCATTCATTCATTCACTCTGCCACACAGATCCAGAGGAGGTACAAAAATATTCCACCCACTGAAGAGAAAGGTGTGCTGATACTGACAGTCCAGCATCTCACCACTTCCCACATTTCCCACTGCTATAGTTTAAAGACATGTGGATGCTAATATTCCAGCACACAATCCCATAGTAAGAAAGCCTGAACCAGGAACCTCCCATCTAAATCCTTAATGCCAGCATGCCACACACATATTTTATGAAAAATCCTTTTGCCAGGATCTTTTCTCCTGAGAAGCTGGGAAGCTTCAGTTTCCCCATGTTTTGCTGCTTTGGAATGTGATTTGGAGAATTGTTTACCCAGCATGTGAAATTGTTTTTACTTGGTGACCAACAACAGCCACCTGTGTGGAGGCTGTGAGCAGTCACAATATTAGATTTCCTTTCCTTTCCTTTCCTTTCCTTTCCTTTCCTTTCCTTTCCTTTCCTTTCCTTTCCTTTCCTTTCCTTTCCTTTCCTTTCCTTTCCTTTCCTTTCCTTTCCTTTCCTTTCCTTTCCTTTCCTTTCCTTTCCTTTCCTTTCCTTTCCTTTCCTTTCCTTTCCTTTCCTTTCCTTTCCTTTCCTTTCCTTTCCTTTCCATGGATCCTTTCTCTCTATTCATTTTAGTATAGCATTTTAATATAATATAATACCATAATGTAATAAATCAACCTTCTGAAACATGGAGTCAAGATTCTCATCTTCCCTCGTCCTGGGACCCTCAAACCCAACCATACCAGCACATGTCAAGAATCAATTCAGGAGAAAATGGCTTGCTTTGAAAAGCCCCAAATCCTTGATCAGAGCTCAGACCCCACACTTACTTCATCGATGGCAGACTCCTCGATCAGCCGGGGAGCATCTGAGGACAGCAGGCCATGGGTGGCCATGACAAAGATCTTGTAGGCCCCTCTCTCCTTGAGGGTCTCAGCTGCAGCCAGAAAGGTGTCGACGTCATCTATGATGTCATCCTGCCAAAATCCCAGAGTCACTGAGGGCTCACCACATCAGACAGACCAACACAGCACACCTGACTGACAGCACAGCTTTACCAAGTGTAACAAACCCCAAACTATCAGAAAATTGTTCTTTTCCTTGCCAAAGCCAGAGATTACACTCTGCTTTAGAGAAAAGTGCATCAAGGAATGACAGAATGGCCTGGGTTGGAAGGGACCTTAAAGATCCTCTCATTCCAAGCCCTGCCATGGGCAGGGACACCTCCCATGAGACCTGGTTGCTCAGAGTTCCACAGAGCCTGGCCCTGAATGCTTCCAGGGATGGGGCAGCCACAGCTGCCCTCATACGGAAAAATTTCTTCCTCAAATCCAATCTAACCCTACTTTCCTGTAAGTCTGAAGCCATTCCCCCTTGTCCTGTCACTGCAGGCCCTTATAAATAGTCTCTCTCCATCTTTCTTGCAGGCTCTCCTCAGGTACTGGACAGCCACAAATAGGTCACCCCAGATCCTTCTCTTTTCCAGCCTGAACAATCCCAGTTCTCTCAGCCTTTCCTCACAGCAGAGCTGCTCCATCCCTCTGATCATCTTGGTGGCCTCCTCCAGACTTGTTCCAACAAGTCCATGTCCATCACCTCGGCCTCACTGGCATTTCCAAACTCAGCAGCAGGAACAGGGCGATTCTCCCCTCCTCCTGTGGTGTGCATGCAGCACCTGAACCCCTTCAGGTAAGCACTGAATAGAATTCCACCTGCTCTGCTCATGGAAACAAGGTCCCAAGGCTGCTTCCAGAGTGGATTCCTTCAGAGTCCCAGCCAGCTTTGTGAGTGTGCTCAAAGCTGCCCCATCCTGTCAGAAGTCCATCAGCAACCAAAGTTTAGTGGCTGGTACAGAACAGCTACTTGATTTCTGCAACTTTGACATGTTTAATATCATTTATGAGAACTGATGGCATCTCACTTACCACAATGATAGCTATTCTTCCTCCTACATCTCCAACAACTGTGATGGGTGGTTTTTCCTTGGGAATCAGCACTGATTAATGGCAGATGTTTTTAGAGGGGTAGAAAGGAAAAAGAAAAGGGGAAGTTTATATAATTTATTTGAACTGTGGAAATGTCTGATGGGTCACCACTATTAGAGGCATGAAGCAGCAAGTATTTCAACATCACTACTAAATGAAAACCAGCAAGATTCTAATACATAATTTTTTAAGCTTAATTAAAACATTAACTATATTCATTTCTATCTGAATTCTTTACCAATTCAATTAATTCTTAATTTCAGCACAGAGTGGCTTGCAGACACAACCAGTCCAATCACCCACTGACACCCACGCTGTGTTTGTGCCCTGCAGTTTTGGTGGTGCAGCTGTAGGTCACATCCACACTCAAGCAAGAAAGAATCATCTTCTCCCCACTAAGAAAGATGTTTTTTTTTCCCTCTGTGAAGAACCACTCCTTTTAGCCAATCCACCCCTACCAAACCCTAAACCCACAAAACCACGAGATGGTTTTTTTTTTCCTCTGTGAAGAACCACTCCTTTTAGCCAATCCACCCCTACCAAACCCAATCCCTAAACCCACAAAACCACCAGGTAACACTTTCCCCCACACACTTACTTACTGGGGATCTCCAGGCTGGGGTGGATAGCAGCCACGTATTTGGCAGTAGGAGGGGAGTGCCGGCCATCCACCATGTCAGACTCAGCATCCTGAGCTTCCCCGTGGATCACGGCGATGCCCAACCGCAAGCGCTCGGCAAACGACTGTGCCCTGCAGGGGAAGGGTTAAAAGAAAAGGTTACACTTCAAATAACTCACCTGTGTACAATCCTATTTCCATTTTACTTCTAATGCTTCACAGGGAAGTCAAATGATCTTAAAATTTTAGGAGAATTCATAGAAGAAATCAGTTGCTCCTCAGTATCTTTTTTTATCAGGTTTGGTAAAGTCAGAGTAACCTTCAAAGTGCCCATATGGGCCTTAAAGCAGCAGGATGAATGCTGCAAGTCACAAAATGCTGACTGCTCCCTTCTGCTTTGCCCAAGAGCCAAAATAACACTTCCCAGCCTTCAGGGATCCCATGCTTTAGCAGGACACATCCAACAGTAACCAAGAACAGCCTTGATGTCTGCATTGTCAACAATTAATAGGAAAAAAATACTCATATAAAAAGAGAAAACAAGTGTTCACCTATTTATTTACTGGTAAATAAAGACAGTATCCCTGACCTGCTGACACATAACCTGAGATACCCTATGGAAAAGGGAATCCAGATGATCATTCTGCCTAACAAACCACACTTGGGAGTTGAACAGCTTGGATTTTTTAATTAGCTGACATGAAGTTCCTTCACACTGCAGTATTTCTTCAACTAAAATTAGAAATTTCTGTAAAGAAGTGTAAGGTTAGCTGGGGGGAGTGGGAAAAGCAGAGAGTCAGGAAAATAGGAATTTGCATCCCAGATACTGGAAGCAGCCAATACCAATTAGCACATCCATCCCACCTCACCTTGCACACCCAAGGGTTTGGGATCCTGCCTAAGCCACCCATCCAAGTCTCCTCTGGTCCAAGCAAGCCCAGCACATCCAGAGTGATTCACTCTGCTCTAACATCAGCACCTCAGACCAGTGCCTGAATCACCTCCTCTGTCCTTAACCCTTATTTCAAAAGGCTTTGAAACAATATCCAAACAATACGAAGTCCAGAGAATAATTTGCCCATCGTGATACTCAGTTAATTAAAACAGAAAAATATTCCACCCTGTGGTTATCATACAGTTGCAATATATTTGCAAGTAGTTAATTATAGGTAATTATAATTACAAACAATAAGAGCTATGACTTAGCAGGAATAATCCTATCAATAAAACCGTATTAATTACCTTAAAATGCAGTATTAAACTGAATAAAGTTCAAAATAACAGCCAAACGATTTGTTAATTTCCCAGTGAGCTCAGAAACCACAGAGACATTCTGAACTTCACCACACAAGAGCTCTTTTTCACAAGGAGGCATTCATCAAAAGTATTTTCCTAGATTGTTTTCAGCCTGGATTAGGCTGAAACATCCAATTATCCCTCTCCCAATACATTGTAACTCTTCATATATTGTCCTTAAATACTCATAGGAACATGTGAAGAAACTAAACAATACACTTCTGGGATCCTCTCCTCCACAAATCACTGCATGATGTGCAACTCATCTGTCTATTTGCTGGCATTGACAATTACTGGATAAGCATTAAAATGCTGCAACAAACAGTTGCCTCCACCCAAGAGGCAAGAGTGACATTGTGGAAGAGAAACGGAAAAGAAACAAATGTAAAATTACCTGGCCAAAACAAAAGTACTCACAAGAAGTACTGCTGGAGAAAAAGATGACAAAAGGTGGTTTGTTACAGAAAATAAGGAAAACACAGAGTATCACAATTCTTTGGCTTGGAAGTCCAAATATCTTTTCAACAAACTCTTGGTTTGTCACCACAGCAAATACAGCCTTTCTTAAACCATCATCCAGCTCTTAGAGCACCTGCTGACAGCAGGTAATTCCAGAGTTTAGGAACAGTCAACTAAAAAGCTTCATGGATTAAGAACAGTCATTCACCCACCAAAGACCTGACAATCACAATCATCTCAAACAGCAAACCAAGTTTCACCATCTGTGTTTAGGATCTGATCAGCCATGTTCTTAGTTATGCTCATGTTAAGAAACTCATCTGGATTAATGGCATTACACTTCCAGCCACTTTTCCTCATTTGCAGCAGGAGATTTATAATGTAAATGCACACAAATATAACATGACTAAAAACCTTCTTAATCATAAGCACTGCTTTGATTTACCACCTCCTTTTGTATGGCTTTTTTTTTTACTGTCCTTAGATTTATATGATTACAGCAATGATGGAAAAACTACACAGCTGACAGAGGAGAATTGGGAGGAGTATGAAGGCTGCATCTTCTAATCATTGGGTATTTGTCCTTCACTTGATCCTAAGAACAAAATCCCGACAGAGATTTCCTGCTCTAAGGCAAGAGAGCAGATCTTACCCACCTCTTTGCAGACGCAGGAGATTTGGCCACAATTACAGCATTCCTGTAGTCTGGTATCTGTAGTAAATAACAGATAGCAATGTCCACTTCATATCTTTAGACAAATTTAAACTCAGTAAGAATCAGAGAACTTTATTTTGCCAGAAGAATTTTAAGCATTGAACATTTTACCTAAGAAAGCAACCTCAGGAATCCAGGATACATGATCAAGGTTGACAGCTCAGTAAAAACACATATTTAGAAAATTCAGATATCAACTTCAAACTGTATCTTTTATAAACCCCATTTTATAGTACAGATAACAGAAAAGCAACTGCTTTAGGACATCAGAGTTACACCTACAAGTGTTGAAAGAAACAGGAAACCATCAAAATTAAAGTTTCCTGCTCAACCTAAATTGTCTTTCATCACTAAAACCCAGCATTTTACAACTTCCTATTGTCTTACAGAGTACCAAGAAAAGTCACACCTCTCCATCATATCACACTGACTCTTTCTCTGGACCACCAGAAGGGATAAAACTTCCACAGACACTGCAGTGATCCTGGAGGCAGTCTCACAGTGCTGCAAACTCTGGTCAGCACCAGGCCATGCTGCTGCAAATGCTGACAGCAGCAGAGGGATGAGGCCAGCAAGTCTGGGTTTCCCTCTGATGTTTGACATGTGCTTCAGTCAGGCTTCACAAGCACAGTCTGCTCCTGAGTTTGCTGCCCCTGCCCCATTCTCATACTGGTTTTTCACTCCAGACTCCTGATCCCCATTTAATTAGCATTTTAGTCCCCATCTCTTAAAGTTTCTTATCCTCATCTCTATCTTCCCTGCAAACAGTGACTCCACATCAGATTCACCTAGCTTGTAACTTCCCAAGCATTCCACCATCCATACTTCCAGATCTCCTTTCCAACAGCAACTACAACTGCACTCCCTCTGGTATCTCATTTTACCCCACTCCTTGCAAACTCAGCCTTTTCCTTCACTGTGCTGGGATGATCCACCTCTATGGAGAGCAGCTTAGAGAATCTGTCCTTCTAGCCAAAAACCACAGTCCTGAGCCAAGCAAAGTCCTACAGAGCAGGTCCAGTCATCAGAATCCCAGTGTTAAGGGATGGAAGACTCTTCACTGAATACCTGCAAACTGATCTGTTAGGGGTGGAATTCACAACTTGTGGGGACGACAGCCTGTCATGCAGCTCACCACCTTGTCAGCTATCAAATACCCATTCCAGAGCACAGAAATACCTGGGGTTTCTGCAAACACAGGCAAAGTAAGTTCTTCCACAATCTGATCCACAATATACAAACTGCACTGCCTGATTATTTCCAAAAGCTCTACCAGAAATGGGCATGGGAAAGAAAACATAAGTTCTGAATTTGGGCAAGGGCTCAACCAATGGAAAATAAGAAATTTTCTGAGCACGTCAGGCAACATTAATAATCCACAATGTTAGTAACTCCACCTATAAACTGGGAATTCAGCACGTTCTGTCCTTTACAAACACTGAGTTATACAAGAGGCTACAAAGATTAACATGACGGAAGGTATGGACAAGGCAGGGCCTGTCATTCGACATAACAAAAGCTTTGATCTAGTTCAGACACCACTGCCTCATTTTCCCTCTGCCAAATTAACAAATTTGTTCTCAGCTCTTCAAAAATGAAGTCAGAAATGTCATCCCAAAGACTCTGAGGTGTCAACATGTCCATGTAACAAAGGGCTGTGTCACTCTGGGATTAACACCTGCTAAAAGGAAAGAGAAGCCACAAAGTTTCCAACATTTGCCAAGCACACCAAACTAAACACCCAACTATTTTCATACCACAGGAATTTCACTGATTGGACTGTCTTCATCCCAGAACAGCGAGCGATTCTCTTCACATCTAGGCATAAATTTCCAACAGGGAACAACTACAAGTCCTGATTCTCCTAACTTTCAGTGAGATGTTTTTAAAGTGACTTTTATTCTTATCAAGCTGGATTCCATTTCATGCTCCTCAGTACATCCCACCATGATTCCCACAGCTTTGAAAGCTCTGGCATTCCCAGAGCAGGATATCCAGCAAGTTGTGGCCACCAGGAACTTGAGATGAATACTAAATTCCCCCTGAGCAGCAATTGTTCAAAGTTTTAAGCACAGATACTATAAATGATCTGGCTGGTACAGGTACTTGCCAGTACAGATCCCGTGTGATCAGATCCATTCAGTTAACTTCGGTTTTAGAAAATCCCCTCATGGATGAAGAACTGAAAGTATCTTAAAACTTCTCTACACATACTTCAGATCTCTACAAATGGTCATTTGTTAGATTGCACAGCAGTGTCAGACTCAAAGCTGCAACAATTCTGTGTAAATCACTGAAAGCTCAGGAATCAAAATGTGCTTCAAGACCAAATCAGGACCACGATCTTGTTATTGACCATACACCACACTTTCAAGAAACACATAAAGGCAAACATGTCTTGTGTCTGTGTATTTGCTTTTCCACTTTTGTTTTGTTTTGTTTTTTAAGTTAGAAAGTGCTTACAATGAGCAATACTTCTTTCCTGGAACACAAGGTGAATGACTGTGGCAAAGCCAGAGCCTGGAGTTTTGTTCTGCCATCCTCTTTGACTCTATTACCAAATGAAATTATAATGAGAGATCCAAACAGATTTTAATACTGTCATAACAAAATCATGTTGGTTTGGGTTTCTTTAAGGGGGTGGGGTGGGGTGTGTTTTGTTTTTTAAATGGAGGAGGCATTCCTACCTTTATAAAAAGAAATAGCTTGGATTCAAAAGCAAGAGTGAGTTAAACCTTTTCTCTCACCAGGAAGAAAGCACTTGCTTTATTCCAAATTACCATTAGTCAGAGGCTTAACGTGCATCTTATACCTACAATTATCATTTGCACATTTTGTACAGGCCAATCTACCAGGAGCACTTCTCAAAACCCTTATAAAAATAAGATGGAGAAAGGGAGGCACAGAACATCCCAAGTTAAGCTCCTCAAGTCAAGACATGCAGTCTGAACTAACAGTGAGTGAGATTTCCACCCACCAGCCTGACTTCCAGGGCACAATCAATAGGCTCTCTCGTAGTTTACAACTTCCAAAGTGTTTCTCATGATGTGATTTAAATTTATGCCCACACAAGCAGCCCATCCTATAAATGTCAAGGAAACTGGAAATAGGAAAGGAAGAGGACATCGAGAGCAAGAAAATGCTAATTAATTTTCAGTGTTAGGGGAATATATCCAAGAAAAAACCCAGCACTGCTGCATGGGCTAGGAAACACCAGCTCTTCAAGAAAGTAAAAGTTAAATGTGGGGAAGAGAAGAACCAACAGCTCCCAACACCACTTCCTGCCCCAATATGACCTGTCTCCCCTTAAAATTCAGTTTGAAGAGTTAATATTTTCAGAGGGATTTGTTTCAGATGCCCTGAGACATGACAAAAAAAAATAATTAAAAAAAATCCAACTGTAATAACTGGCCTTCCTCACCTCTTCTTGGATGTATTGGAGTAAAAATGGAGATGCTCTCAAGTTATCAACTGGAATATTGAAGAAACCCTGAATTTCCTTCTGATGTAGATCCATGGTAATAAGATGAGTTAGTCCTTTAAAATGAAATAGTAAGACATACAAAGAAGCATATCAGGAAAAGTAAGAGAGAACAGACACTTTATTCTTCTAAGCTTCACTGCAGTTTGTCCAGAAAATTTCTAAGTTGCATGAGAACACTGAGTGAAAATACATAATAAATTAATTTTAGTCCCTCTTAAGCACACTGGCATTAACATGTTTTGAGGCTTCTACAGTGACTTTTTTAAAAGAACCTCAGAACACTGCACATAACTGACTCTGCAGTGCCACACTGAGGCAGGCAAGATCCTTCTCACTGGACACGGAACAAAATGGAAGCACTGATTTGTCCTATGTCACACAGCAAGACCCTGGCACACTCATTAGTTCTGAACTCCTGAAAAATGGGCCAAGCTCCTAATCAAAAACCACTTCTCTCAAAATAACAGCCTAGATCCCACAGTTTGTTATAACTGCCTGTTTTTTCCCTGGGATGGGAGTGAAAGGAAAGAAGTAGAAAATGTGTTGAAGGCTGTGAAAATGAATAATCTCATTCTCCCACATGGTCTCAGATGTAAAGGACAAAGTGCATTCATCCAACAAGTAAAAAACAAGACAGAAATGACAAGGCACAACTGTTCCAGACTGTAAGAAAGGCAAAAGATGGTATTATGAGAGGTGGATACCACAGCCCAAAGCAGCTCAGCCCAGCAGACTCATTTTGCCAGCTCAGTACAACTCGATGAAAAATGGCTGTTTTTTTATGAACTCATAATTTGGAAACATTTTTAATTACACTCTCCTTTTTATATACGTTTTAAACACATGAAAAGCCTGGCAGTTATTTTTAAACAGAGTCCAAACTTGTGTACAGATCTCTCTAAAGCTGGAAGCTGACAGCAGGAACCCCCCTTGCTCTGATTTAAGGACAGCCACATTCTTACCAGCTTTGCACATCATCGAGGCCAGCAATTTGGAGACAATGGAGCCCCTTTTCCTCATCTTGCACTGTTTGCTGTAGGGGAAGTAAGGAATCACTCCAATAATGCTTTTGGCACAGGAGGTTTTACATGCATACACCATGATCAGGAGCTCCATGATCGTGGTATTCACATCCCTGCAACGAGAAACATCTGCTTCTGTAGCTGGTGCATAAAAATCCTCTATTCACCACAGTATTCACCCAGCAGAGATGGAGAGGGCACAATTTTAGAGAATTGGACATCAACTAAGATCTATATTTCTGCTGCCATTAAAAAAGTCTTAGCATTTGTAAAGTTCTTTTCACATAAAATTAAAGAATTTCTGAATCACAGGACACATTGCCCAGGAAACATTCCTCCTACATCTTAACTTTGTGATGGTGCTAGAGACAGGGAGCTGAGAAGAATTTAAAGAGATTGACATAAGCAAAAGAATACACTTAGGGAAGGAATGCAGAGACCAAGGGGAAGGCTTTTTTGATATAGTCACTAAAAATTAAAATTGTAGAAGCTGCCTTATGCCAAAGGTGTCTTTGTGTACATATAAAAAACCCAAGAAAACCAATACCAAAAACCCTCCACAAGCCTCTATCTAGTTAATATAAGCTCATTACACTGCATCACAAAGACAAAAGGTGATTAAAAATGAAGACCAGAAGTATTGCTATGGACAGCCCACACCAAATGCTAGCACAGGGTCTTTAAGCAGTTACTCACTTTGAAACTGTTTGGATGATAAATACATCCTTTCCTCTCACAGACTCCTGAATCTGCACTCGTGTTTCTGCCAAGAAGAGAAAGATGTAAAATTTGCAAGAGCAAAACTCTTTTTAGAGTCTAAGAAAAGGGGAACCAATATATTCAGTGTCAGGTGCATTTCCAGTTTTGCTAATTAAATGCTCACCTCTGTTTGGCTCTTGATAAACCTGAACCTTCCCCATCTCAACTCCCAGGCGCCTGCAGGAACAGAAATAAGGAAGAAGTCAATAAGGGGAGAGGAAGGGCAAATCAAATGTAAATCCCATACAATGCAACAGTTACTGAAAAGGCTGCATTCCGTGGGAAAAAACCAAGGAAAGAAAATCCCAAACCATAAAACCAGTAACTACAGTGAGCATCTTTTTATAAAACATCTACAATTTTCAAAAGCTGCACTGCAGCCTAAGCTAAACTTATTTATTTTCCAGTCAAGCCCAGAACAAGCAGGAGGAAAAAAAAGAGCTGCTGTAAAAACGTAACATTTTGTAATTTTTAATACATTTCTTGCCCTATACATATACACACACATGTGGCAACATACATGTGCACAATATTGAAAAATACTGCTTTTAAATAATTCTTCTCTACAGGAAAAAAAAAATTCAATGCAGAGTGAAGAGGAAAGAGTAGCAAGCATTATTTTATGGATAATTAAATAATAATATCTCCTGTATTTATTCCTTGTCAGAATTAGATAGACCCCATCACTACAAAGAGACCAGAGTATGCTCTGCACTCAGGCCCAAATTCTTTCTTACATATAACCTGAGTTCCTTTGCACTCCCCTTTCTTCTCCTATCACACCTAAATTTGGGTAAATAAGCCTCTGGAAGAAATCCATCTTGTCTAATATTCCCAGTAATGTTATGCATCCTAATTAGCACATTAAAAATGTACTTAAATCCTAAAAGTTCTGCCACAGCTATTCATGGATTTAAGCTAAAGAAATGTTCCCATCCAAAATATACAGAGAGCAGGAGGGATGTAGCTTCCCTGCCTAAAAATACCCCACTACAAGGAGTGAAAACTTCTGCCATGATGATTTAACACTATGCAAACATTCATTATCCCACGTGTTTCCTATAAAATGCTGCAGCCAGTCACAGCCTGCCACGGAACAATTCAAACACAAGTTACTCTCTCTGCGATTGAGCTGTTGAAATACCCTCTCCAATAGAGCAAACTCCATATTCTTGGAAATCATGGCAGTTTTCTCATGTAGCTTTCCTTAAATAGGGAAAACAAATGTCCAGTAAAACAAATCCCATCAGAATAAGCCCAAGATTCCCTGCAGACTTTACTTACTCAGCAATCCTCTTGGACAGTTCCATGCACGAGGAATTGGAATTGGCTGAGAACAGCACCAGCCCACCCTTGGTGATATTCATGATGGCCCCAAATTCAGTTGATGGCACACAAAACATCAACCCTAAGTTGTTTTGCCACTTCTAAAAGACTGCAAGAGATCAAAGCATTTAAATCCATGTTTAAAAACAAAACAAAACAAGACACACATTTGCTCTGTTTAGAAAGTGTAGTCTCCCAGAACCCTGGATATTCTAGCATCCTTAAAATCTGTTATCCCCACTTTAATTGCTTCCCTACAGCTCTCCAAAGATCTCCCAAGACAACCTTCTAGCACAAAGATTTTTTTCCTTTTTTAACTGTTTTCCTCAGGCTATCATCCAGTATTACTGATACTTTTTTTCCATCAGCTTGTCCAGTTCATTTTCCAGAACTGAGCAACGTTTATTGACTTTCCCAAAATCACAAAGACAGTCTGAGGTAGAATTGAGCTAAAAAGAGCTCCTGGGCCCTGGCTAGAAGAGTCTATTTCCAAAGCTGAGTCTCTTCCCATTACTCTGCAGTAAATTACAAACTTACAAATAAGGATGAAATGTAAGGAAGATTTCAATAAAGCTGGCAGTTGTAAATAATGACCTCTTGCACAGCAAATCCACTTGCTGAAACAGCTGTTGTCATTCTTTGAAAGCAATATTTCTCCTGTGAAAACAGGAGAAAAATATCAGGAAGAAATCAGTATAATTTGGTTTTTGTTTCAAATAAAGGCACAAACCACTAATCTCACCAAGGACTTGATGGGATTCCAGGTTTTTATTATTCTTTGTAAATCACATTTTCATGGTTACTTCTGTAAAATTTTAGTTAAATAAAAGATTAAAAAAAAAATCCCATTGACCAGCAGCCCTGGATAGATGGAAGGAACATTCAACTCAAAATCCTGCTGCATAAATAATCCAATCCCTCATCATCCATTTCAGCATTAGGTAGGAGACTGGAAATATGAAACACAAGTGGCATAATTTAAACCAAAGTAAACAGAAGTTACAGCAAAATCAGTAACTTTTTTCCTGGTAAACATCTCCCTGCTGAGAAACAGAATTATCTAATAGTCACACATCATTGGTTAGAAAAAGCTGATGATGTATCAGCTATTAAGTACTCCAAAAAAACTACTCAAAGAAGAGTTTTGTATTTACAGCAACAGCTGGCTAGGTCTGTAATGAATGGCTAGGTCTTCTTCACCCCTCCTCTACACCCAGACAGTCTGGCTCAGTTTAACTTTGTCACAGGAACCCCATTCACTCTCGTGAAGAGCCAAAGTCAAGTCAGGAACTTCCTAACAACAAATCTGCTGGTGCCAAGGCTGAGCTGCGCTCAACTGCCATGAATGAAAACCTGCCTATCATCAGAACTGTGCACAGACCGAGCACAGACAGCTTCACCCCCAGAATGTCTGAATGCTTCACTGCACTAAAACCAGAGGGGTCCCCAAAGCAAGAACTGCATCCCTCTCAAATTAAATACCTTAAAAAACCCATTTCTTATCCAGTGTTTCTCTGCTCTGCTGCTCACTCACTCTCTGCAACTCCCAGCTGTCAACTAATGGCCATCATCCATCAAATATTCACGATGGTGATCAAGATCCATCTCAGCTCCACCAGAGCGAAGAACCTGAAATGCTTTTAGGTCTGAGAACAGCACCTGAGAGCACCCTGCTTGTGTGCCTGGATGGGAACAGCGTGAAGGCAACTTTCTGTGTTCCTAAAAGCATTCACAGAGTGTTCAGAAGGTGTATTTTTATCCAGTTGTGTGTCTTCTTTGGTCCATAGATTAGGCAAATGAGGAGCTGATTAAGAGATCTGAAAAGATGAGTTGCTGGCTCCCAACTATTGCTGAGGGTGCACTTTACACCACAATATACTGATGTATTTACAAGCAACAGTGAACACTGCTCTTCATGTTATTATAGGTCGAGGACTTTCTTGTGGATGTACTTCAGCAGCCACAGGTGGGCTATGGTGTGTGTGGGCAGGGAAGTTGCATTTCAAGAGTGATATGGATATATCAAGCTTCAAACAGGTGTTGGGATGAAAGCAAGCTCACAAAACTTTATTAGATGTGCAAAGGCATAACTCCACAGGGCTACATGGGACAATAACCCTCTGGTTTGAGGTGGGCTGAACACAAGCACAGAACAGGCTGCAGCACAAACACCTGCCTTTCCTTTTGGGCTGCACACAATTACACAGACACATCATGATGAGCACAACAGTTACTGGGCACACATGGCTTTATGCCTCCATCAACTGAGCATGTCCACACAGAAAGCAACAGAGGCAGGAATAAATGGATGGGGATTAGGAATGGACCCCATTGGATGGAGGGAATCTGCACCTTCTCACCCATCTCCCCACAGGGAATTTTCCCGTCCCTCCACACTCACCGATCCCGGTGGGCTAAGAGACCCTTCCAGCCCACACCTCCCTCCGGTGCTTCGGATGCTCCAGGCGGGCCCCGTGCTCCGTGGATCCCATCCCTCCGCCCCCAGAGCGGCCCGGGCACGCCGCAGCCCCACGCCGCTGCCCCTCACCTGTGGGCCCTGCGGGCAGCGCGAACAACCCCGAAAAGGGGCAGCCCAAGAGACGGTCTCCATCCCCTGAGGGAAGGGCGACCTAACCCATTCCTCAGGCGTCGGAACCCCGTGTGGGGAAGGGGGATGTCCTGCCCTCACACAGCCGGCTGAACTGGGCTGAGCGGGCGGGAGCGCCCCTCGCTGAAGGCCTTACCTGCCGGCTCCGGCCCCCCGGCCCCGGGAGAAGGCGGCCAGGCCGGAGGGGAAGGAGGGGGAGAGGCAGAGGCGGCGGCGGAGCTCAGCCCCTCCGGTGCTCCGCGGGCAAGATGGCGGCGGGGCGTGAGGGAGGGAGCGCGGGCGGGCGGGGCGGGCCCGAGGCGACGCCCCCCCCCCCCCCCCCCCGCCGCGCTGAGGGGAGCGGGCGCCGCCATTTTCCCCCTCAGCCCGCCGTGCTCGTGGGCACCGGGACGGGGTCTGGGACTCACAGAGTTTCAGGATTTTAGAGTTGTCGGTGTTGGAAGAGACCTTCAGGATCATGCAGTCCAGCTGTCAATGCAGCAGTACCACGAAACCACATCAGCCACCGCCAGATGAGGGTGCCTCTTCCAACACTTCCTCCCCGGGTGCCTATGCCAATGCTTGGCCACGCGGACAATGAAAAGAATTTTTCTAATATATAATATGAATCTCCCATGTGTCAGCTTAAGGCCATTTCCAAGACTAACCCCCTCCTCACTACAACATCCTTTCAGGCAGTTGAAGACAATGATAAGGGCCCTGAGCATCCTCCAGAGGAAACAAACCCAGCTCAGCCATCCCTTATAAAATACATTTTCTAGACCTGTCATGAGCCTTGTTGTCCTTTGCTGAAAAAGAGAAGTACAGATCTGCGTCACCCTGTTTAAAAGGAAAAAAAAAAGCTTTATCCCAAGACACCCATGAGAAAACTGCATTGAGGAACTTACAGTCATCCCACACAGACACACATCCCTCCTTTAAATACAAAACCCAAACACCATGTTTTTCCCCAGACTGCGCGGTTAGAACCTGTTTTAAATTACACTTCTCAGTACGCCCAAGTTGAGCAATATTTTATGGATCAGAGTTTTAGCTTTTAGCATAAAGCTACAATTCAGGTACTTTCCACTGCAGCTTTTCTCACAAAAAGCAATTAAATTTATTATTCCTGGACTGCAGGGTGCATTGCAGCAAGGCTGATCATTCCAGCAGATATTTCTGCCCACGGTGGCCTTAACATAAAAGAGGAGGAAAAGCCACAGGCCAGCTCACCAAACATGCCTGCAAAGGGACACCATTAAATTCATAATTTGAAACCGTACTTCTGCCACTACAAGCTGCATTTTCCACTTTAAATATCACAGGCCAGTGTTTTCCCCAGATTTCACATTTGTTTCTTGCTTCATGCATTCCAAGACTTGGTCATCTCCTTTTTTTGATTGTTTTTTTCAGCAGAGTCGGAGCTGGGGAAGGAGAAGCCATTTAACGCGGAGCCGTGGAGCAGATGCCTTGCAGGCTCACAAAGCCAGGACATCTGTTAGAAATATGTGAGCAGGGAGGCCATCAAGCCTCTTAGATGCTGCAGTGATCCTCTGCCTTTCCTACATCTTCTTCCAAATTACAGAGGTGTAAGGGAATAGTCCCATCCCTCACCACCCCCACTATTCCCAGTCCATGTTTTTCTGCTTCCAGGCTGGTGCTGCCACAGAGTTGATTCAGGATCACTGACCCAAGCAGGTTCTTTTTTTTGTTTCAGGGTTTTCAGGACAAAAAGGAAGGGGGGTGAGCTTTTTGTTGGCCTCTTCACAGAGCAGCAGAGATTTCTCTTAGCATCAGTCTCCCTTGCAGGATCCTGCTACGGGCTGGTGTGGCAGAGCAGTTTAATGCAGAACAACCAGAAGCAACACATGGTGAAGCACTGACCCTTAATGCAATTAGCAGCCTTCCCCAGAAGCATTTTTCAATACCCCAGGGCACTCAGAATTTGCTGACTGTTTGATTTATGCTGCCCCAAATTCCTGACATTGCTTAAGCAAACCACAGGACCAGGAACTAAGTGATCCTGTCTTCCAATTCTTTTTTTTTATAAGGATACTGCCTTTGTTTTCTTGGAGAAAAAAAAAACAAAACAACAATTTCTTTCCTACCTCTGTCTTCCCAATCAGAGGAGCACCAGTTTAAATCTCAGCTCCCAAGGGAGAGGGATTTGTTAATTTGACAATACTCTATTTAAACACTGAGAGTTCAACAAACACTTGCTCCAAGATGAGCACATGGGTTTTGTTTCATTTACAATTATTCAATTAGCAGCCATCTAAGGAATTATGAATATTTGCTGGGTGTGAACACACTGGCTCACAGAGGTTTGTTGTTCTCATTCCAGATGTGACCCTGGCAAAGCAGAGATGTGCAAAAAAATCTCCCCCCACAGCACACCTAGTCCAGCCAAGGTGAAGGGCACTGCTCATCCAGCACTGGGCTGGACGACAGCCTGCATCCATCACCTGGGAGAAGATAAATGCTGCTGTCACCCCAGCTCCTGAGCTCCATCCATCATTGCTCAACCAGGTTGGCTTTTGTTTGTTTGGAGTTGTTTCTGTTAAAAAAAAAAAAAAAAAGGGGATATTAAAGCTCACCTACCGAACCAGCTGACAGTGAGAACTACCAGACATGGTGCACCAGAGAAACACTCTGATTTCATCCTCACAGAGCCCTGTGGGTAAGTTTGGTCTGTCCAGACAAATAAAGGCATCCCAAAAACATCCTCTACCCTACGCAGCCCCTGTGAGCCTGCAGGCAGGTTCTGCAGCACACACACCTCCACACTGAGCACAGACCAAAAGCCATCACCTCCCTGCTCCCCTGCCTTCAGCTTTATTATTGCCTGTGGGAAAACTGCGTCCAGTTTCCAGCAGATTCTGCCTTGGATACTACCCAGCTAGGGAGACAGTACTCAAAACAACTATAAATGCATTTTGGAATTGATGGAAGGTGTAATTTTATCATAAATTGGGAGTGATCTGGAAATAGCATTCCCCATGCCTGGGAATAAAGTGCTTTAATAAAAGTCCTGGAGTAGGGAACACATCTTCTCTGTGAAGGGCTGTGGCAGTAGACAGCACTTATTGCTTTATCAAATATTACTGCTTGGCTGTCTGTGGGAAACAGACACAGACTCATTTGTCACAGTCCTGTTCCCCCTGAGTCACAAAGGACTCCCTGAGTTCAGGGGTTTTTTTCCTGTTTCCGACTGCGCTCCCAGTTCCGGATCAGTCTGTAATGTTTAACAGATCTGCCACATCAGCTCCAGCACAGACACGGGGTTATCTCCAACCAGCCTCCCAACAAGGGGATGAGAGGTTTGTGGGAATACCTGGAGTGTGACAGGTCCTGCACAGACAGCTCGAGCTGGATATCAGGGCGAGGGTTTGGACAAACATTGCACCACCACGGCGGTGGTGCCTCTTGTTTGGTTCTCAGATTCCCTCTGCTTTGCTGTGCGTGGGCAGCTCTGTCCTGCAAAGTCTGTGTAAGATCCTGTTCACGCCCATCAGCTGGTGTTTACAGGTGTGGTTTGCCCTTTAAGCAAAATTGGTTGGACTGCACAGTGAAATCATGTCATTTTAGGGAATTTGAACAGCTACACAGTCCATGACAAACACTAATTAGTGCTCTGTTCCTTTGTCCTGCCGACTGGGTCCCAGCATGATTTGCCATTTGCCTCACTAAGCTGCAGCTCCTGTCCAAATAGCACACAGGCACCATGCCCTGTGCAGGCATTTAGTGAGCACGCAAGGGCTTGACTTGGTCACTGCAGGGCAGCTTTGCATATTAAAGCAGAATTCAGCGTATGAGAGCAGGTCCTATGCTTTGCATGAACAACCGTGAGGTGCAAAGAAAGATTTGGTACCCGCCTTGGCCCATGCACTAAAAAAGAGCTGGAAGAGGTGTAGGGAAGCAGCAAAGTGTATTGTGTCCTCCCCAGTTTGGTTCTGACCAGGACCAGTGAGAGCAGATTAATGCCCATACTGGGAGTGGGACCCTCACCCAGCTGCTACACCAAAAAAAGGCTGAGCCTTCCTCAGGCCTCTTCAGCCTACCCCACTTGCTGACACTATTACCAACATCTCCTTCACAGAGAAGCTTTCTACCAGAACCTCTCTTCTTATTCACTGTATTATTTCCTTCCTGCCTGATTTCAGCAAGCTCTGGAAGAGGTTCTGCTCTCAGACTTCTGTGTACTGCCTTTGACCTTATCAAACAAGTTCAAGAGTGGGACACTTAAAAATTTTACTCACCAGGAAAGTCTCACCAGAGGAAAGGCGTGGGGACTGTGAGGCTTCCCAGAGGCTTTTATTGTCTCATTAAGCTCTTCTTAATGAGAATTTCCTCACCTGCTGCAGTGTCCCTCCCATTCATTTGCATTCACTATCCTGCTGCTGGTACTTTCAAGGCTCCCACTCCTTCCTCTTTCCTCATAAATATTCTGAGCCCATTTTTTATCTCCCTGATCTCATCCAGGTCCCAGGGAGAAAATACTTTCTCCTCTTCTGTTACCACTTGCCACATCCTCCTTGGCTGTTTTCCTCCCAGACATCTCTGCAGCTTCTCCTGCCTCCAGAGTCACCTGCAATAGTCTCTCCTCCAAGGAAAGTCAGCAACACCTGCTCGTGGTGAGATCCCTGACTTAAATGCTCGCTAAAATCTTGCTTGTTCTCTCAGCTAAGGCTCCCCATGCACTGCCTGGACCACACACACCTCAGTGCCTGGACCCCGAGCCCCGCAGCGGCTCTGCCCATCCCAGCCCGCTGTTTGTAGGGGTGGAGCTGTCGGATCGGCCCCTCTGCAGGACCAATGAGGCCTCACCCCAGCAGGGCAGGGGGTTCAGCACCTTTCTCAATGACTGCAAATACTGGGGGGTTCAGGCTGTTCCACTCCTCCCATGGCATGTGAAAGAGCCTTGACAGCAAAGCTGCGTCAGAGGGGGCAACAGCTGCCAAAGCAGCCGTTCAGCCTCCTCTGATTGCCTGTTGGAAAGTATTTCCCCCTTTTTATCATTCAAGCTTTTCTAGATAAGGATATGGCAAATGGAAATATCAGAGAGAATGAACTGCCTCCTAGTTGGGAATGAGGGACTGACAATTATGCCCGTGATAATGAGATAGTCTGAGCATGAGGGAACTCGATACAATGGGAGATTTATCTTGGAAGCAGTCCCTTGGCAGCCTGGCCTGTCTTACTGTCAGCACAGTTTCCCATTGCACAAAGGGCAGGGATCAGAATCAGGATGACAAATCCATCTCTATCCCAAGCTCATCCTGCTCCGTTACCTAAGGCTTTTCCAGTGGTAATTCCTTAGATCATCCAGATGCTCTGCTTCACTTAAACCACGTTGTCCCATGGGAATCTGTACCCACCTTGGATCTCCAAATGACCCAGAAAATTGCTTTCTTTCCTACCATAAACCCAGTCAACACTTCAAATCCTGACCTTCAAGGCTGCCAGGGTTGAGGAGAGAGGCAGGCCAGGAGTCCAAGGCCTTGGTCCAACACCCATGGAGACTCTTGTCACAAGGAATTATGTGGACTCTGCAAACAGATAAGGAAAACCAGAAAGAGCAAACCTGGTCAAGCAAAACCTTGACATGGCAATCGATGGTGTAGTTTACCACCAGGTGCAAGTAAATAGCCCCAGAGTTACGTGCTGCATAGCAAACATTGCAGTTTTATCTGCATGACAGGCAGCAATTTGTGGCAAAGGTTAAATCTGTTCACTCAAGCTTGATGTATGGTGGTCACATTACATTCCCTGTTCTCAGCGGGTTTGTGTATGAATAAGTGCACGTGTGCCTTCAGGATCACTACCTTCATTCAACAGTGCATAGCCCAGCAGACCCATAATTAATCCCCAACATGTTCAAGTGACAGCTCTCATTCGTAACATCATCCATACAGAACAGTGAGGTACGTGTAAATTCCTACAATCCAGCTGGGAGTCAGAGATTTTCCAGCCACCGGAGCAGGGAGGCTCCAAGGCAGGTTCCTGACAGGATGAAGAGGACAATTGGTAGGTTGGACTAATCTGCAGGTTAAATGGGTAGGGCAGGAGAAGGAGGTGTGATACAGTCCCTGCGCGCTCAGCTGCCGAGGATGGGCTGGGAATGACAACACCTCCGTGCTGTCATTCCCTGTTACGTGACCGACATTTTCTACTCACAAAAATCTAAGAGTTCCAGAGGCTTATTATGAAACCTGTAAGAAAGTCCCCACATTCTTCATCCTGGACAGCTTGCAAACATGAAGTTTGGCCAGACTCAGCTCAGCCACTTCTTCCTTCTCCCAATCACTGGTTTTCAAATGTACCCAAAGGTCTGAAACCCCAATAAACCATTACCATGGTCTGGCAATCAGATCCATGTGCCCCAGGCAAATCCTCACACCCAGGTCATGTCCTGTCTGCCTCACTCATAGAGCTGCTGCTAATACCAATGGTTTTTTTCCAAATTCTAGATATTTAATCTTTTTATCTGTTTGTTCTGTTACCAAAGATGAACCTGCTCTGTCAGGTTGGATCAAGTGTTTTATCCCACAGGCACACAACAGGATGGGTATGTTTTACACAAGTTTATTGGGGGTCAATATTCATTCACCAACAGCACAATGTATCAGATATGTGCTATTTAAGAGCTGGAAACATGTCAAACACAGAGACAAGCATTGCTCAGAAATACATCAAATCTGAGTAACAGCAGCATCACCACTGATTTGTCCTGTCTGAGGAGAGAAAAGAGTGTCTTACTCACTATTCCATTCCCTACAAAAATACATACAGCCATTGCATTTAACCCTCTTTCTATAAAGGCTCCATACACAAGAATCAAAAGGCACAAGGAGTAAAATGCTGCTACTTTGACCCACCTTGCTGCAGCTCCAGAGAGTTCTTCCATCCCCACTGTGTTAAATCATAGCATATTTGAGACATCTCCAAAACACAAAATCACACCTCGTTAGCATGTGCAGCCCTTCACAGTCCCCAGTCCCTTGATTTGAGCTCTGAAATGAGGGAAATTGCAGAGAAAATAACAGCCCCTTCCACACCAGCACCTGCTCAGACCCTTGGGACCTCCACTTCCGAAGCAGACCTGGACTTGCGCCGGCTGGTCAGGCTGCCCAGGACTGACTCCTCGCTGAAGGCCCCTTCAAAGGTCGACAGGATGGACTGGCGAAACTTCTCCTTGAAATCCGGCCCCACAAAGACATACAGGATGGGATTGATGCAGCTGTTGAAGAAAGCAAGGCTGGAAACCAAGGGGATCCCTATGTAAAGGGCCAGTTTCATCTCGTGGCTGGAAGAGTTGTTGGATATTTCCAGCAAGGAGAAGACGTGATATGGGAAATAACAGAGGAAAAACGAGGCTGTGACAGCAATGATGATTCTGTAGGGCTTTGCAGAATTGGCCAACTGCCTTCTTTTCAGCTTGACAGCCACGACGCTGTAGCAGATGAGAATCACCATGAAGGGGATGAGGAACCCACATAAGAATCGCGTGACGATCATCGCTTTGTGCCGCATCCTCCACAGCCTGCGCGTTGCCTCCGACGTGTAATCGTCAGACAGCGCAAAATTATTGTAACAGCTGGTGACGTTCCTGGAACTGACCACGGTGTCCCGAAAGACGAGGTACGGGGAGCTGAGCAGGACAGCCAGGAGCCACGTCCCCAGGGCGATCCTGGCCGCCAGCTCCGGGCTCCTGCGGTTGTGAGACCAGACGGGGAAGGCCACAGAAACGCAGCGGTCAATGCTGATCACCGTCAGGAGGAAGACGCTGGCAAACATGTTGAGGAAGGCCATGGTGCTGTTCAGCTTGCACAGGAGCTTCCCAAACGGCCAGTGGAAGCCCAGGGCGGTGTAGGCGATGCTGAGGGGCAGGAAAAAGGTAAAGATGAAGTCAGCTATGGCCAGGTTGAGGAACCAGATGGAATTCACCGTCTTCTTCATCTTGAAGCCTGCAATCCAAATGACGAGGCCGTTCCCTGACACCCCCAGCAAACAGGCGATGCTGTACACCACCATGGAGAGGATGTGCATGGTCTTCTGCAGGCCAGAGTAGTAGCCATGGTCAGTGGCGTTGTCAGGCTGCTCCGTGGGACAGCTGGCAGAGAAGAGGGAAGGGGAAGAAGAGGTGCTGTCCATCACTAGCAAGCCAAGACCTGAAATCACAACAGAGCTGTTATCTGCAGCTCAAGAGAGGTGAAAATCTTTGTGAGCAACTGTACACAAAATGTGTATGAAAAGCCAGATTAGATAAATGAATTTATAATTAATACGAAGTCCTTCTCTATAGCATGTGCAGCTGCACCTCACAGACCCACCTCAACCAGAGAAACCAACCCAAATTTTGCTGTTGATATCAGTGTGTCAGAACAACACCTTCATCACCAGCCCACAGCAGCAATCCAGCATGGACCAGCAGCAAAACCATGGAAACCCAGATCCCCCACTGTGACCAATCCTCTTTGGATGACCAGTAACAAATTATGACAGCAAAAGCTATCTAGACTGGTAACAATGATGTTAACAGACTGTTCCTTCACCAAGCCCCTTCCAGGGAGGTGCAGGGCAACGCCAGATCTATATCCAAGTGTAACCATAGGCCCTTTACCCACCCCCTACCCTCTGGTGAGCCCACCCTTCTCCTCATCTCTCGCCTGTTCATCCTGGCACTTGCCTTGGCAGGTCCTGGCAGGGCTCACGGCGCTGATCCTTGGCTGCTCTGCCCACAGCGGGTGGTCTCACCCTCCCGACTGACTCCCCTTGTGCTGCTCCTCTCCAGGGTGACTCACACTGCCTCGCCCCATTTTCCCATGGCTTGGGATCACGAGGAATTTAGTAGGACCACTTATTCCCTAATCTTCTTCCTCAATTTGTGGTGTGTTGATTTAACCCCTGAAGCCCCAAGGGGTGCAGGTTCCCTGGGGCTCTTTGGGCAAGCCCACCCACTAACTGGGATTTGATGAATGAAGAAAACACAGCCCCTCGCCTGCCTCCACCATTCACCCCCCTGGCAGCTCTCCCTCCTGAGCACCCCAAAATCCCTCTGGGCACCGGGGTGCCCTGCCGTGAGGGGGGACAGGGCCAGCTCTGCTCCCCACAACAGCAGCAACGTGCCCAGCCTGTGCCAGGGCTTGGCACACCCGCTGTCCTGGAGACACGGTCTTGGCTGGGGGGTTCTGGGGGTGCCTGGAAATGCTCCCTGCCCGCTGCAGGGTGTTGGGGTGTCCCATCCTTCGGCGCATGGGGGAAGTGGCAGGACACTGGGAACACCGCAGGGCTGGCGGAGAAGCACCTGGGGTGCAAGGCAGGCAGGGCCGGAGCTGTGGGTGACGGCAGAGGGGTGAGAGCAGCGGGGTGACGGCAGAGGGGTGACGGCAGAGGAGGGATGACAGCACAGGGGTGACGGCAGAGGAGGGGCGACACTGCCGGGCCCCCCGCCCCGGCCAAGGTCACCCGGGCGCCACGTGCGGGCCGCGCCGCCAGCCCCGCCCCTGCGCTGGCCAATGGGAGGCGGGGAGGGGGCAGCGCGCGGCGCTGATTGGTCCAGGTGCTTCCCGAGCGTATTCTCCACTGGGGCGGAGCGCGGCGCTGATTGGTCGCGGCGCGGAGGGGGCGGGGCCAGGCCGGGCTATGGTAGTGCGCGGGCAATTCGCGCGGTAGCGGAATCGGGATCGGGTAAGGACCGGGACCGGGACCGGGACCGGGACCGGGACCGGGACCGGGACCGGGACCGTGCGGCGTGGGGAGAGCAGGGTTGGGGCATGGCATCCCGCTGCGGGGGACAGGCAGCGCTGGTCCCCGCCACCCGGGGCAGGGCAGAGGGGCGCGTCACCAGGGCATCGGGACGTGGGAGGTGATGGAGTGGGGATACAGGGGGTGCTGAACTCGGTGGAGATAGAGCTTCGGGGATGGGGTTCTCCAGGTGAGGTGGCAGGTATGGGGGGGGGTCTTATCCTGAGTGGGAATGGCAGCTCTGTCCCTCTCTGCAGGAGTGCTGCAGCAGCCTGGGCTGGGGGACATGCAGCACCTGCATCCTGCTCAGAGCCAGAGCACTTCCCCTCGCAGCCCTTTGCTCAGCCCAGCCCCTCTGGCCGTGAGGATTCCCACCCCGCCAGTGGGGACTGGGCTTGGGCCAGAGCATAGCTGAGCATCCCTGCCCTTGCTGGGTGGCGTGAATGGACTTTGGCAGCTTGGCACAAGGAAACCGTGTGGGATTGCTTAATAACCTGCTCACGGACCTTCACCCGTCCTTGCAGGGTTAATGAGTAAAAAGATGCATTGTTTTCTGCCAAGGCAGCAGCTAGGCTGTTACTCCTTCCCCAAAAGCAGCAGTGGCATCAACTGGGCCAGAGGGCTCCTGCCAGGCCTGGGCATCGCCCATGCCATGGAACCCAGCAGAGACAGAGCTGCTGCCTCTCAGGGCCTCTCAGCTCCACAAGAGGCTTCAGTCAGGGTTTGGGGCAGGACTCTGACCTCCTGGAGTTTTGCCCAAGGGAAAGCAGCCAAGAGGTTTAAGCATGCTGGGCATCACAGCATGTGTTAAAATTGAGATCTGTGGGTACGAGCACTTCACTGCTCTTGAAATTAAACATCAGGCACTGCTGAGTGGGGCAGGGGGAGCTCAGGGAGGGGTGGTGATGGGAGAGTATCAGACATTATCAAAGCACAGTAATTAACAAACTGATCTTAAATAGGCAGGGGAATCCTGAGGGTTTTGTGTTTTCCTCACCCAACAGCCCTTGGCTGTTCCCAGGGAATACATGGGATGGCAGCAGGCAGCACACAGGGAGATGTGGAGGCACCCAGCCCTGCTGCCATCCCACAGACTCCCTGTTCCCCTGGCAGGTGACTCAGACCCAGCAGCAGCACCATGGCGAGCTCAACACAGGGCCTCCCCAGCGCCGAGCTCTGGGCCTCCCATAACAAGATGGTGATGGAGCCACTGGACACCAATGACCCCGAGGTGAGAGCCCCTTCCTGGCTCCTGCCCAGCTGCTTCATTCATCCCCCAGCCAGCCGTGGGGATGCTGACCCTGTCAAGCCAAGGATGTGGCAGGGTCCAAGGCTGGGCTGCTGGAACCCATCCATCCTCTGTTCCCTCTCTGAGGCTGCTCGGGATCAGCTGCACCAAGAAGGGATCAGATCTCTGGTCTCCAGCAGCTTTCCAGGCCCCTCTCCAAGCCCTGTTCCTGTGGTGGAACATCGACAGCTCTGTGCAGAGATGGCTGAAGGCATTTCTCTCCTCTCCCAAAGGTGCACAGCATCATCAAGAAGGAGAAGCAGCGGCAGAGGCTGGGGCTGGAGTTAATTGCATCGGAGAACTTTGCAAGCCGAGCAGTCCTGGAGGCCCTGGGATCCTGCATGAACAACAAATACTCTGAGGGCTACCCAGGACAGAGGTATGGGGCTGGGGCTAAGGCCCACCAACCAAAACCCTGGCAGGGTTGGAGAAGAACCCCCCATCCTGCTAGGCCTTACCTCAGAGGAGAAGAAGCAGTGTCCTTGTGCTGGCAGCCAGGCTCTTCCAGGACAGGCTCTGACCTTCTCAGCCTCTGTCCTTGGCCACACATGGGACAATCTCAGCAGGGTGACATCTGCTGTGGCTGCACAAAAGGGGCGTCACCCCAGTTTGGTCACAGGGCCTGTTCTGAGTACTGAGTTTGGTTTTAGCCCTGCCCTGTCCTGTCCTGCAGGTACTACGGTGGGACAGAGTTCGTGGATGAGCTGGAAAGGCTGTGCCAGAAGCGAGCCCTGCAGGCTTACCGGCTCGACCCCCAGAAGTGGGGAGTCAATGTCCAGCCCTACTCAGGTATTGGGGTGCTCAGGAGAGCCAGGACAGTTTGCCCAGGCCCCTGTGTGCCCCAGCATTCATAACCAGCCCAGTGCGTTCTCGCTGCAGGGTCACCGGCAAACTTTGCGGTGTACACGGCCCTGGTGGAGCCCCACGGCAGGATCATGGGGCTGGACCTGCCCGATGGTGGCCACCTCACCCACGGCTTCATGACAGACAAGAAGAAGATCTCTGCCACCTCCGTCTTCTTCGAGTCCATGCCCTACAAGGTAGAGAGCTGCTCCAGCCAGAGCCAGGATGCAGTTATCATAAGTGTTGGTGCCTCTTAAAAGTACCAGCACCAGGCTGCCAGCAGTCCCTCCTGGAGGACAGCACTGCAGCTGATCTTCACACACCAAGGTGGCTGAAGCCTCCTCTTCCTCTCCCAGGTCAACCCCAAGACGGGTTACATCGACTATGACAAGCTGGAGGAGAATGCCCGGCTCTTCCACCCCAAGCTGATCATAGCAGGTAAGGATCACACCTGTACTGACCTCCCTGCTGGCACAGCCGGGGTGGGGGTGGCTCCCTGAAGCCAGCAGCAAACCCATAAGCCCATGGATGCTGCAGTGCCAGGAGGAAACCTCCAACACAACCACCCCGGAAGGAGCTTGTGTACTGTGCTTGTGTACAGCCTGCTGGGCTGTCCACACCGCAGGCCTGGTCCTGGGGCTGTCCCAGGGTCCTGCACATCTGCTCCTGTCCCCTCCTCACCTCCTGTCCCCGCAGGTGTCAGCTGCTACTCGCGGAACCTGGACTACGCCCGCATGCGGAAGATCGCCGACGACAACGGGGCCTATCTCATGGCCGACATGGCACACATCAGCGGGCTGGTGGCCGCCGGCGTGGTGCCCTCGCCCTTCGAGCACTGCGACATCGTCTCCACCACCACCCACAAAACCCTGCGGGGCTGCAGGGCCGGCATGATCTTCTACCGCAAAGGTGCCCGACCTGCCGGGGTGCCGGGAGAAACGCTGCAAGTTAACGCTGCTTCCCGCTCTGACTGGGAAGGAGGGAGGGCAGAAGGATCCTGGGAGTGTCTGGGGAGCTTCCCTGCACTAACCCTGGCTCAGATTTGAAGAGGAACAACCACTGTGCTTGCTGTGAGCAGCCAGGGGGTGAAAGCAGCTTGTGGGAGAAGGATTGCTGTGCTGCCTTGTGACCATGTCCTCCCTGTCTCACAGGCACCCGCAGCGTGGACCCCAAGACAGGCAAGGAGACCCTCTACAACCTGGAGAGCCTCATCAACCAGGCGGTGTTCCCGGGGCTGCAGGGAGGCCCACACAACCACGCCATTGCAGGTATGCAGCCAGGCTGGCTGCCAGCTCCAGCATGGCAGAGGGAGCTGGCAAAGGTGTCCTGGCAGGGCTCTGACCCCCAGCGGCAGCACGGGAGGCTCCAGCTGCCCTACAGGGCTCACAGCCTGGGGACACTGTGGCAAAAGGCAGCTGGCTGATCCAGCATTGCCCAAGGAGTGACCAGGCCTGTCCTATCCTGTGTTTTGGCTCATGGCAATGCCAACCAGCCTGGTTAGGGGAAAGGAAGGATCAGTGCATTAGTTTGTTTGGCTCCAGTATGGTTTCTGCTGGCAGTGCCATTGCTGGTGGGAGCCCTCCAAACCTGACCCTGGCCTCCCTCTATCCACAGGGATCGCCGTGGCGCTGCATCAGGCCATGACACCCGAGTTCAAGGCTTACCAGCAGCAGGTGGTGGCCAACTGCAAGGCACTCTCATCAGCACTGATGGAGATGGGCTACGACATCGTCACAGGTGAGGACACATCTTGGCAGTGGGATGGGGCTGACCCTGGGCTCTGACCAGGGCAGCTCTTCAAGGACACCCTGGGCAGGGCTCTGTTGGCCAATTCCTCACCCCTTGCTAGATCTCAAGCCTTCTTTTGCTGAAGTTTCCTGCAGGAGCAATATTTTCCCAATCCCACCAACCCCTCTCTTTGCAGGGGGCTCTGACAACCACCTGATCCTGGTGGACCTGCGCAGCAAAGGCACAGACGGCGGCCGGGCCGAGCGGGTGCTGGAGCTCTGCTCCATCGCCTGCAACAAGAACACGTGCCCTGGTGAGGGATCCCACAAGCTCTGCCAGCTCCTGCTCCGCCCCAGGAGCCAGGCTGGAATCCCACAGGTGGTGGTTTCGGTGCCAGGGTTGGTCACACGTGCCTCGTTGTGCTGCAGGTGATGTCAGTGCCCTGCGGCCCAGCGGCCTCCGCTTCGGGACGCCGGCTCTCACCTCGCGCGGCTTCCAGCAGGACGATTTCCGCAAGGTGGCCCAGTACATCCACAAAGGTGAGCTGGGGGCGTGTGGAGCCTCAGCTCCAGCACCAGCCTGGAACAGGGCAGCTCCCCTGGGTGAGGAGGCACCAGCTGGCAAGGGAGCACACCCACAAATGAGGAATAACCATCTCTTACCTCCACATCTGGATGTGTGGGAGGGCATCTGGCCACAGCTGGGACCAGCCAAACTCTCCCCACTGCAGGCATTGGGCTGAAAGCCTGTCCCTCTCGCAGTTCTCTCCCAGTTGTCCTCAGGAGCTCCAAGTTGTTTTCCTGGGCAGCAAGTCCCTGAGATGGGAAGGAGGGAGGGAGCAGGGCTGTGTCCCAGGGAGCAGCAGGGCTGGGAGAGCCGTGGGCTGCAGCAGCTGCGAGGGCTGACCGAGACATCTCCCATCCTGGCAGGGATCGAGCTGGCTCTGCGTGTGCAGAAGGACATGAGTCCCAAGGCCACGCTGAAGGAATTCAAGGACAAATTGGAGGACCCAAAATACCGTGGGGAGCTGAAGGCACTGAAGGAAGAGGTAGAAGCCTTTGCAGCCATGTTCCCGCTCCCGGGGCTGCCTGTCCTGTAAAGGGACACAGCCATGCCCGCTCCTGGAGCCACGGGAGTACCTGGGATTATGGCACACCCACAATGCCCAGCCTGAGACCAACACCCCAGTGCCTTCTCCCAGCACTTCCCTGTGGAACTGCAGCAGCAGCTCCTCCTTTGGCTCTTACTTCCCCTTCCCCTCCCATGTGGGGCACAGGGACCCCATGAATACAACCCCTGTGGGGACACCAGCCCTTCACCACTGTGTCACTGAGCACCAGGTCACCCTCACCTCACGGCCAGGTGCCATCCAGCTCCTGCTGGCTGTGGAGCAGCAGATGAGATGTAGTCTGGTCTATCCACAGTCCCTGGACACTCTGCCCATGGCAGTGTGAGAGACAGGGGCTCCAGCTTCACAAGGAAGCTCACAGCCACTAAAAGTCCCCCTGGTTTCAGCCTCAAGGATTCCCCTTCATCCTATGTGCCTTGCCACCTCCAAAGGCTACGACAAGGCCAAGCCTTGTCCTCAACATCCCTCCTGGGATCACCATCTCATCCTAACCAGATCCTCCAGTATCTTCTCAGAGCCCTTGGCACAAAGGTTGAACCATTTTTTAATAAGCACGGTAAAATTAAGAATTTAACCACAACGTATGACAAAAATTATAAGCTTTAAAAAATACGACCAATTTTTTTTCTTTTTTTTTTGTATTTCAAAAATATCTGAACCCAAATAAATATTTTTTTTTTAAAAGTACATTTCTTAGACTAGTCATTTGGTGTTAACATCTGTTAAACTCTTGTGCAGTAACACAGCACGACACTAAGACATGCTTCTTGGATTTCTCCCGGTCACACTCGCCCTAACTACTGACGCAAGCATTCGGCACGCACGGGCACACACACGGAACTCAACATGCAGGAATAGGATACAGTGCTTTTAAAATAAGATGAGAATTCATCACAGCCTCCTGGCAGCCTTCAGAGGCAGCTCCAAGCCCAGCCCCATCCCCGTGCCAGCAGCCGTGCTGCCGGCAGGACCGGGTACCCTGCTTCTGCCTTCCAGTTAAATCCGTCTCAGGGAGCAGTGGGTGGGGGTTTGTGACCCCTCCAATATCGGGGTGCAGTTTGGTGCTCTGACATTGTGCTCTGGGGCAGGTGTTCTCCTGCAGCCTGGGCAGCTCCCTGAATTCCCTCAGACCCTGTTACAGGAGCCTTCTCACCGTGCTCCTACAAGCCCTGGGTCTGGTCCAGCTCCCAGAATCTGCAGTGTGGGCTGGCCCCCACCACCAGACCAGGGGGCTCAGGACCCTCACACTCAATAAAACCCAAAGAACTGGCCTGGGGGCACTGAGCCATCAGCTCCCACCCCTGGAGTGCCTCTCCCACCACGGTGAATATTGCTAGAGTATAGGCAGCTGTGGAGCTGCTCAGAAGTGATTGCTATCAGATGAAAGGAAATCTGAGCACTGTTCTCTGAGAAATGAAACCTTTGTAGGGTTAAGATCACCTACAGCTATGGCTGAGCCTCCTGGGGTGGGAGCTGGAAGCAGGAGGGGTAGTGGAGAGCAGAGCAGGGGCTGGCAGCTGGGAAGAGCAGGAGTGGGAAGCGGGAGCCCTCCCTCCTGGCTGGGGGAGGCTTCTGCTCTGATGAATTCTCAGCCAGGTGGACACCTCCTCTCCCTGGCAGCAAGGGGGGAGCCAGCAGGGCTGGGAGTGGGTTCATGCTGGGCTGGCAGCACTCACAGAAGCAGGGGACAGCCATGCAGGGCACTGCTGGCTCTGGCAGCTGAAAGGCTGGTGAGGATGGCACTGCCACTGCCAGGAACCCACCCCGCTCCTCGTGGAAGGATGGCTCAGGCAAGACAACGACACACACGTCATGGTGGGAGCTGTCAGTGCAAAGGTTGTGGCTTGTTGTTAGTCTGTGAATATCAGAAACTGGTGAGGTACCACACCAGAGATGGGGGAAAGTCCTAAAGTGCCAATACAGGGATCTGTACTGTACAGCAGCAGAAGAACAGAGACAGAGAAATTACAGAGGAAAGAGGAACTCAGCTCCCAAACACCAGGTACCCTCGCAATCCCCCCAGTTTCTGCCACCACAAGCAGAGAGGGCTCCAAATGCCCAGAGGTGCCACAGCCCGGTGTCACCTCCCCCTTTTCCAGTCCAGTTCAGAGGTTACACTGCTGAGAGGAGGACAAGCACTCCAGGGCGTGTTTCTCCACAGCTCCCAGTTGCAGATAATCCCGGAGCTCCTGTTGAGAACTGGGTGATGTTCCAGCCAAGCCCCCGGGGCATCCTCCCCAGTCAGGGCTGCTTTGTGGCAGAGAGGTGAAGCAGGTCAGACAGGTGATAGTGCAAGTATTGCTCAACACGGCCTTGAATATCAGATACTACAGGTTGGACAGAGGGAGCAAGAAGTGAGTTATCAATTTATGAGCACAGTTGAACACCACAGGTCGAGACCACTGTGACTAAGATGAGCCACCACGAATCATCTCTCCCACTCCATGCTGGAGGAAGACATGAGTCAGCAGGAAGAAAGTCTGTCCCTCCTTAAACCCAAACAGCACTAGGTGGTTTCTCAGCAGGAAACAGGCTCGTTTTGAGCACTGCTCCACAGCAGGATGCTGGGAGCTTTCATCTACCTGGTGTCACCTGCATTACTCATCTACCCAGATGCCTCTTCCCCCAGGGAATCTCACCTCAGCTTTAGTGTGGAATTTGGGTGTGCATGAATCAGTCAGGGGCACCTTGAGTCACATCAGGAAGCAGCCAGCTGGATGGACACAGAGGCCTTTCACCAGCAGACTCGGCTCACATGAGACAGGAGGGCACAGGCAGGACAGGAAAAGGCTTTGAACATGCTATAAAGGTGAGAAGCTCACCTTCAGCAAAGGCCACACCACACTGCTTCCAACCACGACCTCAAAACACCATCACAAACAACCCCTGACCCAGGAAATCCCTCTGGAGTGAACCACGAGGCCAACTTGGCTGAGCCACCACAAACAGCAACAACCTTAAAAAACAACTTTTCTGCCCTGTTGATTTATACCCCAGAGAGCCCTTTCCAGGGGAGAGAAGGAGGTGGCACAATCCTGAGGCACTGATGCTGGTGCAAAATGACAGCCTCCCCAAGGAGCTTCCCTGCCTCCAGGACATGGTTTTGGAGGAGTGCAGGTCTCACAGCAAGTCTCAGTGGGGTCTAAGCCATGCTGGGGAACCCCAGGCTGTACACAGAAACTTCCCAAGCTCAGAAGGAAGATGACATTCACCTCCAAAGCTGCCTCACATTATCACCATAAACAGAAGTTTAAAAAAAACTCAACAAACCAAAGAACAGATCAGCTCTTGTATGATGTCAGCTGCTCTCACCCCATAATCAGCATTAAAAAGAATTAAAACCAAGATTAGCTTTCCTAGAAAGACTTTTCTTACTTAGAAGTACCTTGGGAGCTGCTACTGCCACATGGCACTGGGCAGAGCAGCCCAGGCTCAGTATCACCTACGAGACTCCAGAAGGAAGCGCTGTGCCCGGGCACAAAGCTTTGGGCACTGACAGGAACGACCTGGGAGTGTCACCACGTTGCTGGTACCTCCTTTATGGCACAGAAGCTTTGAAAGGAAAAGTTCTCAGTACCCAGGCTCAGAGAGCAGCAGTTCTGCCCCATCCAGAGCCACCCAGGAGCCCTGGGAGAGGTAGTCAGGACACGACAATGGCTCAGCCAGGAGCAGCAGGCAGCAATGCCAGCCCTGTTTTACCACAAAGCACAAAAGCCAACTCCCCAACAAAATAAAATAAAATAAACTATTATGGATAAAACATAGAATCCAGTACATTCATCCCCAATCTTTCCTGAGCACTTGTACCTCACCAGCCTGTGGTACAGCCTGCTGTCTCACAGCGTGGCTCCAGCTGAATCACATCGTTTCCCCACCACAAAAAGCACCTAAAAAGAGGACCCTCACACCCTCCTTCAGCTCCCTTCTGCCTTTAAAAAGCCACCCCCAACCTCACACGCTCTGAGGATTCCCAGGCTCCCTCCACACCCAGCAAGTCGGAGGTGACAAATGAACAAGGCACAGTGCTCTACATTCGCAGCGGCCGGCGCCTCGGGGCTCACCAGCCTTAGGGACTGCTTCCACCTTCCTGATTTTAACAAAGCTGGGAGACACTGGGAAACCCTTTCTGGAGAGAACCACGTGTGCCTCCGCTGTGCTCCCACTCACCCAGGGAGAACCTATCCTGGGAAGTGCCCAGAAACTCAGTGCAGGAAGGGACACCATCTGTGGCTGTGCCACCCTGCAAGGGGGCTCTGAGCTACACTCCCATGACAGTCACATCAGTGGATACAAAACTTCACTTTACACCTCTGGTCACAGCCCTGGCTCCATGGAAGGGACTGACAGTGCTCAGGATTCTGGCAGAAGCGTGCAGGACACTGTGCTATATGGGGGCTGCACACTAGTCAGTATTGATCCCCGAGGTAGCCCACCTCCCCTCATGTCACAACCCCCCGGGATGCTGCCGTGATCCACTTTAACAGTGCCCCTTCTAACGTTTACAGAGTGCCTGATGGTTTATGTGATGGAACATCTACGCTTTTGGCTACAGGGAACACCCAGAAATGCACTCCCACAGACCCGGATTTCTGCACAGCAGAGCCACCAACACCTCGGCCCCTTCCCGACGTGTGAGAGCTACTGCAGACAGAGGCAATGTCAAGCACGGATGAGCTCTGTCAGACCCCGAGCACGTGGGCACACGGCCTGTGCAAGGCTAGATTTTGTACAAAAAGCTGGGGACATAGTCAAATCTGAGCAGGGGGTTCCCCCCCTGCCCCGGTTCCTGAATGTAGTGCAGCTTCAGCAGCTCGGCCAAGTACTGCACGATTTTGATATCTTCATTGGCAAGGCCCAGTTGAAGCTTTAGGAAGTTCATCCTGCGATTCACAACGGATTCCTCCGGTTCCCTTTCGCTGATGGGAAGGTGCAAATGATGGCAGAAGGTGAAGAGGAAGGCTTTAGAGCACAGCTGGGTGAGGATGCTTTGGACGTGCATGTAGTAGGTGCTGCCACGCTTGATCTG